AAAGAAAGAAAGAAAGAAAGAAAGAAAGAAAGAAAGAAAGAAAGAAAGAAAGAAAGAAAGAAAGAAAGAAAGAAAGAAAGAAAGAAAGAAAGAAGGCATTTGGGGATGGGAGAATGGAAAAGAATAAAGTATTTTCCTCGCTTTGTGTGTTGGTCTTCTTTCAGCAAATAAAGTTTATTTTTGGTGTCTGGTGTCTTTTTTATGATCAGTAATCTTACCACAGTCCTTTTGTGGGGTTTTTTAATATTACATAATTACGTTGTTTGTTTGGGAATTTTAGATTTGACACGATGATGATAAAGACACACCTGTGTCTGTGGTTGAGCATGCCCTGCTGCACACCGGAGGAACCTTCCCTGCACGCGCCCGAGTTTACCCAATCCAAAGCAATTCCTCTGTGGCACGCGCCGACCAGCAGGCTGGACAGGGAGCTATTACTCTGGCATATAGCCTAGTTAGAAACGGGTTTTCAAAACTGTGCCTCCTCACACGATAAACTGAGACTGGAAACTGAATGAATATATGGTGGCTTTAATAAAGATGATAACGCATTTATCGTCAGTAGGTTAAAATGGTCAAGCTAAAGTTAAAATTTCCAGTATTTGTAGAGGATTCTCCCTCTTTTTTAATAAAAAACAAAAAACAAAAAAACAAGTGTACTATTTGTGGCAGTCATTGACCACAGTAAACTCTCACGTCTAGGTTATTTTGGGATCTTATTGTGTCAGAAATACTGAATTTTACAGTTGTTGGGTTACAAGAGGTTGGTTTGAACTTGGTAGAGAATATCTCATTTAAATGTTCCCGCGTGGCAGCAGATGTGAACACACAATAGGTTAGATGGGGCCCACGCTCTAAATAATCGAGTCCAATTTGAATAACTGTCGCACTTCTGACGCGTGCAAGAAATATCCCAGCTTTCCCAGGCTCTGAGGGAGGGGAAAACCGTTGGCAGCTTCTTTCCAGTTCAATGGGGATTTGGCTCCTCACTGGTTGAGGTTGTTGGAATGTCTTTTAACAGTCTGGGAAAAGACTCCATAATTTCCTACACTTGATTAAACCCTGTGTTAGACCGATCATCAAAAGCTACAGCTGCAGCACAAAAGTACCCCGTCTTTCACGTCTAGAGTCCACATACCAAAGTGGGAAATAATAAGCCCAAAACAAGGAGATGGGATTAGTGTGGCAGTCAAATAATCTATACCGTGTTTAATAAACGGACAATCCAATTTTAGTGAGTAGCTGGAAGTTGAATACTCTACTATAAAAAGGTCGACAGTTTTTGAAACTGTGGGTCTCGTGATAAATAAAAAATAAACTTTAATCAGATTTAGCTGAGGTTATATTCAGTTGAAGGTCTTTTTTTTCCCCCTGTGAGTCAGGGCAGTGTGTCTGAAAATAAACAAACAGTGCTAGCGTATGGAAATGTGCGAAGATTTAATAGTGCCCATAAAACGACCACAATGTGCTTTGCTTCCGAGCTAACGGACTTGTCCCACATATATGTACTTTAGACTGAGCTAAAAAATCTTCTAGGTTAAATGACCTCTCCTCCCCCCTCGTTTATCTCCAGCCTTTTTGAGAGCTATTACTGTCCATTTCCTCTGGGGAATTGTAGTTAGCACGCTCGTGGGAATTCCCCCCTCCTCCCTCAAATTGGCGCGCGGTGTCCATGACAGTTGGACCTGTGAGACAGATGGGCCGAAGAGGCACGCGCCGAGCACGAGACTCGCTCATACCCCGCCCCCGCCACCACCTCCTCCAAATACTCAGGAGTGAATCTACCCGCATACTGCAGAAATTGACTGAGCGGAAAAACCAATCGAGTTAGTCTGGCAGAAAGTTAACCTGGTGTGAAGCTTCATTATTTTTCAAAATTTGCCCCACATCTAATCATTTAAATACCCTAGTCTTAGGCTGTAACTATAGCATAGTCTTGTTTAAATCCGGCAGTGTATACCAAGACTGTATGTTTACAAAGCAGTTAGGGGAGCATATTGCTGAGTTTTGCTTATTTTTTTTAGATAAAAATGAAGACTTTCAAATTTGTCGTTTTTAAGACATGTTATCTGACTCTTCCGGTGTGCAAGCTTATTTAAATTTGTCATTTTTCAAATAACTTGAGGTATCATCACCTGTTCCAGGTGGAGATAAGCTGCAGAATACGAGGCTTTCCTGCCACCGTTTGGTGGTGAAATGTATTACAGTTCTTTGCAATATGTTAATGAAAATACAGACAGCCTATCTGCATCATTTGCATTGAAACTTGACCTTTGAAACTTTTGTTAAAACTGTCAGTAAGGCCACATAGAAGATAATGCTCACCAACATGTGCTTCTATACCTTCCGCAGGTATAGCTGCTAAACGTTTAAAGTAGGTAGCTTTTGCACTATATGGACAAGAGTACTGAACATCTATACATTACACCTACAGGAGCTGCTCAACCCATGCCGGAGAAGGTTCGCAGCCCTGCAGTTATTGGGTTAGAGCTTTGGAGACTTTTACTCAATGTGCGCCTCAGTACTCGGCGACCCTGCTCCATAACTTTACTTGGTCTGAAACTTTGTCTTAGTTGCTGAAGTTCGGTCAAATTTTCAGCAAAACCACTTACAATTAGTTGATCGTGGAACATCATAGGGGGAAACATCAAGACATTTCAATGGCATCCTGTCACTAATCGTGCTCCAGAAAGCCCCATTGTTTCACAAATATTTGCAAAGTCAGAGTGCGGCAAGGTGCTTGATTAGACACTGAACACACATGAATTCAAAGGCTCAGTGGGTTTTCTCCATAAAGTGCACATAGGTTGGACTTCAGTATCGCTGGAAGACCAATTTGCTGTCTTTTATGTAATGCAAAAAATAAAAAATAAAAATAAAAATCATAAAACTGCTTTTGCAATCTTGCACTATGAATATTTACTTTCTCCAAATGTAAAAGATGAAACTTTTTTTTTAAGAGTCCTGCATCTGTGCCTTATCTTGCTGATGGATAGCTTGCAAGCAGCATTTTGTTGTGGTTGATTAAGGGAATGTTAATTTAAGCTATTTTATTTCATGTCTGGCACCCAAACAATGAAACACACACCACTGGCGTAAATGCACTAAAATGCATAAACGATCATTGGGCAGGACTACTTCTCATGATTTATCCGGTTTCAACATCAAGTTTTTATTCCTCAGAAATAACTTGTTCATCTTTTAATCTGGCATCATTTAAGGTGTATAACTATTTCCAATTGACGTATCAACATGCGGTCTATAATAACAATATAGTTACTTTTTTTTCATCTCAGTCGACTTTTATTGGGACATATTGGCTTGGTGGAGAAAAAAAGTCGTATGTGTTCAAGGGTAACATTTGAAAAAAGGAAAAAGCACGTCTACTGGCAGCTTACTTGCGAATTTCTACAGCGCGGTTATCTGCTCACCCAACAGAAAAACAACAAAAAAAATTTTTTTGTTTTGTTTTGTTTTGGGGGTTTTTTTTTTTTGGGGGGATTTTCTTTTGTAAT